TCTTTAATATTTATTATAATTTTTTTTTTGAATTAATTTCGCTTTCAATAATTATTTGCGATTGAAGCAAATATAAGTTTCTTTTTGTAATAAATAATACTAACAATACGCATTTAAATTTTTTGTTAAATTTTATATTAAATGACTGAATATCAGTTTTTATTAATTTGAAAATAGCTCCAATAAACAACATGTCAAACTAGCCTGATTTTAATACAATGTTTATATGTTCTAAATGCTTTCTTAAAAAGTTGCATCAGTAATATAAAAATAATTAATTTTTAAATCTTTTTTCAATGAAACAACTATTTATTATTATTTATTTATTTTTTTTTTTGTTGTTAAATAATGAGCTCTTTATTTATTGGTATCTATTATTTATTTAGTATAGTATTTTGCGACTACTTTTCAATACCTTAATAGTGTGTGCTTTCATTAAAGAAATTCATTTTAAAATTCTACTGTTCGATATTTAAGTATACGCTCCACCCTTCAGAAAGCTCATATGTTCAGAGTCATTAGCTCGGTAATTGCCAATATGTTTTAAAATTATAAGAATTGCAGTCATGTTTTAAAATTACATTCAATTATTTTAGTTGCCATGATTCGCAGAAAATATCCAGGAATAAAAAACAATCCTTAAAGTTACGCTCTCCTTGCAATATGGGATATATTGTAGTACTTAAGTAAAAAGTACAAATGGTGTACACAATAAAATGAAGAAAATTACCCGTAAATAATTTTTATTTGCCAACAGCGAAAAATATTTTGTAGTTGCACTTTAATAGCGAAGTAATCGGAAGCAAAAGAAAATTCATAACTGCAGTTACAGTTAATTACAAACATTTTGCAAGGATAATGAACGCAATAAGGCACGTTGACATTTGCAATAACGTTGACGATAATGATGACAAGTCAGAAACAAGAAATGCTAGCAATAAAAACAGCAACCAAAACCACAATTTCCGGTGTGAGCACCATGCATAGTACACCTACCGCAATCAGGCTTAGTACGTCTGGCGGCAATTGCTAGGACTTTTCATTTCATTTTGATTGTGTGCTAAATTTTTGTGTTTTCCAATTATTATTGGTCACGTCAGTTTAAAATCATCAGTAGTAGAAATTGGCTTTGGAATCTAAAAGATATAGGTTTTTAGAAAGATACTTCTTTGATAGTTTATCAGACTGTTAATCAGTGAAGACGAAAGACCTATTAAAGTAACTAAATTTAGTCTCTGGATAGGATGGATTTAGTCTTTACTCTAATATACTAGGGTTCTTGTAAGGAATATAGTAGCAGAACGGCGAAAAATCACTAATGGAGGTGCATGAAAGTTATCTAATCGCCTGTTACTGCAACCAACCAATTAACCAACCAACGACCCACAAGACCTATTGCATTAAGCCTGTAAAAAGACTCGTAAGAGTATGCGAACAATTTTGATCAATTTTTAATGGTTTTTAAGGTTAGGAAAAGGTCTATTGCAGTTTAAATAAAGAAAACTCATACGAATTCTATATCTGCACAAAAAAGATTAATAACAAGACCTTACTTAATAGTACCAAAGTTTTGTCTAAATCGAGACAAGGAAAAGAAGAGAAGAATGTTTGTAATTTGCTATGTCCTATTAATGTCTATGCCAATATCCTGCGCTAACAAACCTTCCAGACTATAGAATCTCGGAATGTTGCCGGCAGATAATCTATCGACCTTCGTCAACAGAAAAATGGACAAAGTTCATTTAATAAACAAGATAGTATCCAAATTAGCGAAAATGGAAGAAAATTCGTTGTAAATGGTGAACAATAGTTCACAAGATATGATATATGTAAGACAATGATAATCAATTTATGAGTTAACTTATGACTTCTGGTTTTAAAAATCTTTAGTTAGAGTGTGAGTTTCTGTAAACTTTTAGTTTTCAGTAGTAATGCTCGGTTAGGTTAGAGTGGTAGCAATTATCTGTTGTGGAGTCATGAATGAATGAAGGAACACAGTTCGGTTGTCAGATTTGAAAAATCACGTAAAAGGCGAAAGTCTCATATATCAAGTGCATGTCCTCATGAATTAAATCCTTAATTATAATGTTAGCGCTCTTATGAGAGCTAGAGTCAAATAGCTGTGATCCTAGGTACATATTATTAGTTGCCAATCTAGCCATTACAAAAGGAATACCAGTATCAGAATATTGCCTACCAGAGAGCAGCGTACTTGCTTTTCTAAAATTTTCAAATTTACATCTGGGCGATATGATTCTATATCCAGATACTCACATGAGTTGGACGCTGTTGAGAAAGAAGGAAGCCTGGCAAGTTCAAACTAGAAAACAACGAGTTGTATTGCCTATCAGAGACTTACCTACATTCCTGGTAGGTTACTGGTCTTACTGTGCTAGTAGTTCGAACATCTTGGAGCAACTCAATACAAATGTTTTAATTTGTTACTACTTAAACTGCTCCAGCAAAGTACGACGAGAAGAGTTTCAAGCACTATTCCAAACGTAATTTCCTTTTCTTTTATTACTTGTTTGTAAAAATTATTTAAAAAACCATCACGTTTTTATATGAATAAAAATTCATTTAGAAAATAGTTTTGAATATAAATTATCCACTTACGCTTTTTAAAAATATCTGAAGTGCTGCAGCTCTTTTTAGATTAGTTTGGTGGGTCATGGGTCATGGGTCTTGGGTCATGGGTAATGCTGTTTTTCCTATTACTATGCAATGCGGTTAATGTAATTTTTTCAAGTATTTTTTTATTTTTTAATTATTTTAATGGTTTCAGTTTAATGCATAATTATTTCAATTAGCAGTTTACTTATTAATAAAATTTTAATCCTTTTAACTTCTTCTTACTTGACATTGTCTGCGTGCAACCGAGTACAAAAGTTTACAACATTTTTCGTTTTCCTTTAACAGAGAACAGAAAGAAAAACTTAATGCAGTGTTTAACAGTTTTCCCAAATTTTCAGAAAACGAAGGACTAAAAAGTTGTTACTTCCAAAACTCGTTCGTTTCCGTGCATTCGCTGAAAAAATGTTAGGCGTTGATGAAAATTAGCGTTTTATTGAAATGGGATTTTAAATGGCTGAAAACTTTTGAATGCGTTCGTTGCGTTCATTTTCATTTTCATTTTCATTTTTGTGTTTGGTTAAGTTTCATTATATCTGCCCGCCACTCTTGGCATATAGACATATCTGCATCTATACATCATTGTTGCTGGCGCGTTTCCTCTTTGGTGTTTTTGCTGTCATTTTTGTATCTGAAAGCGGATTTGGCGCTACTGAAAATTTTGCTTAAATATGCGCGCGTTTTATGCATGCATTTTGTGAACTTTATCCTTTAACGAATATGGCGCATTCTCATGTTTTGGCACTTTAGCATCTGCTTTCCTTGTTCGTAGTTTTCTAGTTTACTCTAGTGTTTTTTTCCTTTGTTTGTTATTACCGGAAATGGTGCTTGCTCGTTTTAGTTCATAAAACAAAGTTTTTGCTAAATGCAAAAGTGCAATTTTCGTCACACTAACGATGCAACTTTTGAAACAAATCATTATAAATATTTTCGTTTAACTATTATTCTCAGTAAGTAAGGATTTTCTTCATGTGATTTATGCAGCAATATTTTTCAATTTATGTGTTTTTGTAAATAACTAGTTGTGTTTCAAGGTATTTTCCTATCAGAGTTCAAAAATCAGACAAAGTTAGTTTATGTCAATTTTACCCAAAAAAAAAAATGTTCTCGGTTTGTAATATGAACTAGAAAAGTAATGCGCTACTATTAATTAATCTTTTTTATGCATTTAATTTCTAGATTATAATTTATATCTTATTATCATAAACAAAATGTTTAGTAACTAACTTTCTAACTAATTCAGTTACTTACTACTTTTAATTTTCACTTACTTTCCACTTATTTGTACGTCGTTGTCATAATGTCCTGTTCTACTTTATGGTTAAAGTTAGGTAGGCATGTAACAGAAATTGAGTACTACCGCCGCTTCTAATGCACATGATTAACCAATAAAATTGATGTCTATATGTCTCGAGCTTATAATTGTCCTACTTCAGATATTTGAACAATATTCTCTGCAATGCGATTTTGACATATATGAAGCGTGAGCAATTTCTGATATTGGTTTCGTAAATATGATTTACTTAAGTTTTATAATTCTAATTTGTTAAGCTGCGGTGCAAAGCAGCTCAAATATATATTGATATATTTGTAAAGCTTATTGGATTTTCATTTCTTCAAAAAAACTCACTAGGATTTTCTTTATAATCCCTTTCGTTAGTTCCTTAGTATGTTTTACTTATAACGTAACGGGATATAACTTTGCTAATTTGATGATGCCCCAGCTTAACAATTGAGACTTTTTTAAGATGATCTTAAAATCTAAAAAAAGGTTCAAAAGATCATTCTGCAATGCGACCAAAGGTCGTTCTATTGTTGTACTTGTAAAGCTTATTGGTTTTTCATTTCTTCAAAACAAAACTGACTAGGATTTCCTTTATAATCTGATTCTGCTATTTTTCGCTTATCTATTACAAATACTAGAGCGCAGAATGGAACTAAGTATTTGGCAATTATGATCTAATGTCTTAGCGTGTTTAAGTAGTTATATCTAGTTGCATCTCTAACTGCTTGTAGTAGTTCTGTGTAAAATTCTTGAATTAAGTCGAGTTATTCTCTTCTTTGATTCATTTTTTTTTTTGTAGAAAAATAATGTTCTTAACCTTACTGTAGTATGTGATCACTAGGTTGTCAATAAGCCTTATAGCTATCAATTAAAAAAAATTAAGCATAAATTCTAATTTGTGTTGTCGTATATTTATATTTTTTTCTCAATTTATATAACTAAAATTTTCTCGTATTATAACATTCATATAATATTTCTTGTTTTGGATTTATATTTCTATTGACTCAAAGGTACTGCCTTCTTATAATATAAATAAAAAATAAAAAAATATATCTTGTATTATTTTTGTTTTTTATTTTTATATTTATATTTAATACTTTAAATTTGTAGTTCCAGTACTTATTGCAATAATTTGTGCTCTATTATGCATTGCCCAAGTAATTCTTCAATATTGCGATTTTACTATCTAAGCTGTTATGGACTTAAAAGAACCGATACTAGGAAGTTTTTTTTAGGAAGTTTAGACATTTTCAATTGCTTCCTCATACTACCAAAAAGACCACTCTTTCACGGAGTACAGTAAGCAGAATATGACTTAAATTCCTTTGGCATTTGTTCCGGTGCACAGATACGATCACAGAAATAAATGCGTTGCAATAAGCAATTTGGATGTATCATTACACGTGATGTTTCAGAATAGGCTGTACCATAGGATTTCCATAATATATCCGGTAAATTTATTTGTAAATAATTCCAACCGGGTTGTAACTTAAGTGGCAAAGCGCAGGTGTATGGTTTTAAGTTCATTTCTGTAAATCCAGTACCTAAACGAAATCGGCGTCTTATTCCTGTACCGTCAACCACCTAATAAAAAGAAATCAATTGAAGTTTTTTTTATGTATATGCATTTTTTACCTGAATTTCAAATGAGACTGGCTCGTTAACATTTTTAATTACAAGCACTAGTATTGGTAGTGACATATTCAGCTCATTTTTGGGAAAGCTTGGTGTTGTAATGTATGTTGTATCTAACATTGCTCCTTTTAATTGCAGTACCATGCACTGAAGTTCTTCATCATGGATGCGTTTTATATGTCCGTTTCGAACTTTTGTATCCCAATTTTCTAATGGTTGGTTGTCGACACTATAGAGCACTGAGACTGCGTCGATTCGAGGTGTCAAACGTTTTTTTATTACTTTGGGCTTCGGCATTTTATTTTTTTTTTGTTGAATATATTTTATTTCATGAGAGCATGTTATCGTGAAAAAGTCCTAGAAAGTGTCGAAAGTGATCGAAATTTTTTATAAATTTTTTTGTTATATTCTTTTACTTTTTGTTTGCATTTTATATATTAACATTAATTTTATTTTTTTATTTTATATTGAAGTATATTACCAGGATATGAAAAATAATTAATTATTTTAAAAAAAATAAAGTTTTGTTCTTATACATATTTTACTTATCTTAACAGGTATTGAAAATGATTTCATATTCTTCATACTTTCGAGTAGGAAAATAGTGTATATCATGTATGTATGATATGTAGAAACCCATAGCTAAAATATATTCTTAAATACCATCACAAACTAAATTGATATGACAAGTATCTGTCTGTTTGTTAGTAGATAAGCTAGTCGGTAGCCTGTTGTTAAAATGATAAACTGAAACTTTGAACAAACCAATCGGTTAATGTCGCTTTCCAATAATTGCTAATAGCTGCTGATCAGAAGAATAAAAGAAAAATGTCGCTGATTTGTTCTGTCACTGCCTGTCAATTGTCAAAAGGTGTATTTTTATTCTGAGGTCTCCCTTTCTCGGGGTTTTGTACGTTAGCATCAGTAAAGGCATTAAAGATATTGCTTGTTTTTCACTTTTAAATTATGTCGTCAGTTGAAATGTGTTGAATCAACTTGTCTGTCTTAGTAGTATCGAACATCTATCATCTTATATGCAGTCTGAATGTCATTATAACTTTAATTATTTTTATGAATATATTTAATACTTTATGCAACTAAGTGACGAGTAATGTCCCAGAACTTTGACTTTAACAATTTCAAAGTTAAATGACTTTGAACTTGTAAAGAAAGAAATAAGATTATCCTGTATCCTGCGCTTTCTTTTCAATGAAAATGACTTAATTTTAAAGTTAAAAAATATGAAATGAAGTAAATTGGCTTTACTACATCAAAACTTCATGCAAGAATACAAAAAGTTTTGCCTTTGAAAAAAATTATCTGATTTGCAAAGTCGTAAAAAGAAAATAAAAAAGAAATATTCAGATACGAAAATGTTTTTAAGCACGTTAGCGTACTGCAGTTTAAAAACGAAATAAATAAAAAGTATATCTGCAAGTCTTTCGTAAATTCTTAACCGTACACTACAGTTCATGTTAGTTCTTCTTTAAAGAGAAGAGAAGGAGAAAGATTGTATTATGTATAATATATTATTATTTATATATTTCTATTTGAGCCACTGCCCTTGAGCACTTTTACGCTTTCCTAACTCGAGGTATTTTTAAGACCCCTCTTTACGCCTTGACTGGATTATTGTTAATCACTTCATCAGACTAAGCAATAATTGATCTCAAATCTACATACCTCCCTGTATGTAGGAGCCTGTAATCATTCTGAGATTTGATAATGCGGTATTGGTAAGTCTATCAGTTTTCGCAAATAATTTCAAGGCTCTATCCTTTATGTATTTTTTGATGGAATCACTCTTAAGGTCCCTGAGGATGTCATTCGTCCTAATGTATCATGGTTCATTAGGACGATATATATAATTGATAATGATATATTAAAAATGAGGTATATAGTATATTGGGTTGTTCACACTTGGAGACTATTGATGATAGTCTCTTTGAATTATGCATAAAACTGTGGTTTCTACTGCAGTTCTAATGAAACTCTTCTGCCATCTAAAGTAAGCCATCTATAATATTCTTCTAGAGTCCTTAAATTTAAATGCTTATTTATGTGCTTATAAAAAAATGCATGCTTCTGTATAGATTATACCGCGTAAATCAGTTCGTAATTACCAACGCAGTTAAAATTCATAGATTTGCATCCTGGATTTTTTCCTTACTTTATTGTTGAGTTCCTTTTTCTGTGTATGCAATATAAAAGGACGAAGTTTTGCAATTTACCTTTTCGTAGTGTGAATTGTATGAGCAAAGTTTTTAAAATACATATATTTTAAATATTTTTTCGTCTTATTCTTTTTTTTTTAAACTTTTCATTGATATTCCACAAAAAAAGTTCTTATAAAGTAAAATCGTCTCCAAAGCGGATATACGAGTACGAGTACTTCTTTACTTTTAACACTTTTTTAGTTGGAAAACATTTGCATTTATGTTGTACACCTCCTCAGTGGATTGTAAATTGTCTACGTCGAGATATAAAAGCTATTTTTGCATTCAATATCGGAAATAACATTGCCATCAATTTACATATTTCTGCAGCATTTTATTATATATTTTTTTCTATTGTTTACTGAATTTGTTTTCAACACTTTTTTTTGTATCTGAAAATAATTGTTTTATCTGCTAAACTTGCAAGCTTCGATTTCTATTTATTTATTTTACCTTTTGTAGGTAGCATTTCCTTTGAGTCCCGTCGTAGTACTTTTGCAGATGTTTGGCTACTTTTAATAATTTTTAGAATTCAATAAGGAATTTTTAAATTATAAAATGATATGCTTTTGTATGTTGTAGTTAATCATCTTATTGGCAAATATCCATTTCATTACTTTGTGCTCAAAACTTTTTACCTGTTTTCAATAAAAAAAAGATATAATGAAGTAGTTTCGGGTAAACACCTTAAATGGAATTAAAATTATATAAGGGTTACATAAAATGGATTACTTTGTGTTTGCTTTATTTGAGATGATGTTCTACTTTTACTTGGCAGAAGATTTACCCAAGCTGATTTATTTAGGCCATGCTGTCGATGGTGTAATGGATTTACTTAAAATAAATTGAAATAATTAAGATTGATTAAATTAAATGAGATTATTTTTGCGATCAATTTTATTTTATATAATTCAATTCGAACAGTAAGTTTATTTTTGCTTGAAATGCAATCTTATTAAATTTGCAAATTTTAAACTTAATAATATTTAATTAATTAAATAATAAAGTTTATCTTCATTTATAATAGCTAAGATTTTTTAAAAACGTTTTCAAATTGAAAAACAAAACGATTTGACTGTATTATATTCAAGTTGTTTTGAGAGATTTTCATGATTATTAATGAAAACTAATACATTTTAAACTTAAAGAGAGTGCATTTTATAATGGGCTCGCAAACTAATAATTGGATAGGACGAATTAAATTAAAATAGACTATTATCAAAGATTAATTCCATATGAGGTGAGAGCAAATATTTGTGTTTAGTATTTATTCCTTCTTGCAATGAAAATAAAATCAAGTCTGCGAAACCGGTACCATTCCATCATCTTTTCAAGTAGTAAAACTTAAAATGGGAGTTGTTCGTCGAAGGCTAGTAAAATCAAAACATGGACTTAACTGTCAACGATTCCTTGTTAATAATCTTAACAAATAACTGTAGGAGGAAGATCTTCCTAATCGTAGAAGAACCAACAGTTATGTGGTGGATCAACTCATTAGTAACAAAAATATTACTGAAATATACGATACCGATTTCTCCACGTTGTTTTTGTGGTTTCCAAATATGTTGTATTGTATGCAAATACTGTAATATAAAAATTAAGTTGCTGCTTCTTATATTAAAAACAGACAATTATAACTGCTTGTTTCTGTTTCTGGAATATATTTGCTGCTATAAATCATCATCTTTCAAATCGATAGTTTTCCGTAATTATTTTGCGGATTAAAATGCTTAGTATAAATGGTGTTCATACTACACATAAATAAACTCGAAAAATCAGAGTCCTAGATAATATGTAAGCACCTCGCTTTGGAAACGAGCAGATTGGGGATTTGATAAAATTTCATTACAGTAATTTAGTATTGTTTCAGTGGAAATACAAAATTACCTGATAATTGAATAAAAATGTTTTGTTTATGTTGAACTTTTTCCGAGTTATTGCATCTGGGCACTTTTACTCTTTGACAGCTGGGGGGTTCTGCAGGGTCCCACCCATCTCACTGAATAATTTGTGTATTACTCATAAACTTCGTGATTATTCAATGACTGATCTAAGATCTGCGTACGATTAGATAGTGCGAAGTAGGGTATTTTTTGACCGGATCTATTCTAAGGTCTCTTAGCATATCATTCGTGCGGATATATTATGGCACTTTAAAGAGTCTTCAAAGAGCCTGACTATAATTATATTGTTAATAAAAACACCAAAGTCTTATGTTTTTACTAATATTTGTTATATTATAGTCAACAAAGGTGATAATGTTATGGTCATCAAAGCTGATCATATAAAGTCACCACAAATGAATATGTTATAGTGACAATAGGTGATTATTTTATAGTCACCAGAAATTATTATGTTGTAGACATCATAGGTGATTTTTTCGCCATAGCTGATCATATTATAGTTACCATAGATGATTATTATATAGTTATCATAAATAGTTTTTATAAAAGTCTCTACGTTTTGTGCAATTTTAACTGTTTCAGAAATATAAAAAGAAATTAAATAATTAATTTATTTTCTTGTATACAAATCAGATACACAACTATTTTGCAACTTTTATATTCACTTTATGTTGTTTATTAAATAATATGTTTTAAAAAGTAGATTATTTCTTTAAAATTTCTATTTTTAAAGGTGAGTGAAAATATTCATCCAAACAACTATATTTTTTATAATTTATTATAATTAAAAAACTGTTCACTTTTTTTAAATAATTTTTATTTATATTAATTATAGTAATTTTATACTAAAGCTTAGCCATAATCGTACATAATTATCATACATTAACCTAATTAATATATTCTCATATATCTAAGCTTATATTCACTAACTTAATGTAAATTTTAATATATATATATACTATTGAATTGTTTTTTATTTATATATGTATATATACTATTCTTGTAAATTGTATGTAGTTTGTGTTTATGTTACTAGGTTTACTTAAACACTAAATCTAACTAAATAGCGCTAAACATATCTAAGTATTTTGTTGTTGATGGCTAAAATACTAACAATTTAATAAAAAAAATCAATTTAAATAATTTATAATAGTGGTAAAGCTGTATGATTATGTTTTTTTATAAATTCATTTTTCTTATATGTAAAATACAAATCTGATAGAATATTTTATTTATTACATTTTATATGCATTTATGTACAATTTTTGGTTGACAAATTTACTGATGTTACGAAAAAAAGAAAGCGAC